GAAAAAGAATTTAGAAGGAGGATTATGAAAACCGCACTTGGATAAGGAGACTCTGTTTTTTTTTATTTCGTGTTTCTGGGGATTTGCATAGCGCTGCGATAAAAAGGCTTTTGTGGCAGGAGGAAACCTGGCAGGAAATGTGTCCTCGAATGACCTTCAGCTCAGAGCTGGGCCACAGAACTCAAGGCATCGAACTCACCATTGTGGAACAGAAACCACATTGCAGTCAGCATGGCTCAGGCGGTAATGCTCTCGTCTCTAGGACAAATTGGCTTAGCCGATAAAATAACACGCGTCCACGCTAATGACCCTTGCATTTGATTTAGCGCCTTATCACGTCTTCGAGGCGTCTCAAAGCGCTTCACGGAACATACTGTGGAGTTGAATTCAGTTGTGAGTTGTTGCTTCCCAGCTTCGCTCCTTCCTCTCCCGCCACTTCCCTTCACGAACCCCTCCAATCGGGAGCCCTGGTCAGATTCTGTCCATCTGCGATCAGGGCTCCCTTTGCCTCCTCATCCTCCTTGACCTCTCCGCTGCCTTCGACACCGCTCTATCTTCATCCGCCGCCTCTCCTCTTACCTCACCCTTCACGGCTCTGGCCTTGACTGGTTCAGATCGTACCTCTCACACCGCCTCCACTTCATCTCCAAAAACGGCTTCTCCTCCAGCCCCCGCACCGTCTCGTGCGGCGTTCCTCAGGGCTCTGTCCTTGGTTCCCTCCTCTTCAACATCTCTATGCTCCCTCTTGGTGACATCATCCACAGACATGGGGTCAACTTTCACATGTATGTGGATGACACCCAACTCTACCTCTTTGCCTCCACCCTTGACTCCAGGACCACTGCTGTCCTGACAGAATGTCTGTTGGACATCAAGTCCTGGATGAGAGTTAACTTTCTTCAGTTGAATGTCAACAAGACCGAGACCCTCCTGATTGGCTTCCGTCAGCGCCTCCACACCTCAGGCGCTGACAGCATCACCATCCATGGTTGCTCACTCCACCTTGCTAAGCCAGTTCCTACTTACTGCTGGGTAAACAGAGGCATGTGTGTGTGGAGTAAGGAAACTTGCCCAACATTTCGCCCCCTGCCCGGGAATCGAACCCGGGTCTTCTCGCTTACGAGGCGAGTGCTCTAACCGCTGAGCTACAGGACTCCACGTATAATGTACCCTTTGAAGTGCTCTTGACGTGAAAGGCGCTGTAGCCCATTTGTGCACAGCGAAGTCACGGCAAAAGTCCATGAAGTGAACGGATAAGATTATTTGGAGGATTGTTGGCCAGGAGCACAGGATCGAGCCCCTTGTGGTTCAAGCCCCCGCCCCACCCCTTGGTGCCCAAATCTTTGAGTTTACAGTACAATGCTAGCCCCAGGGAGCGCAGGATGGGGATGTGTATGTGTGGGGTGGGGGGTGGGTGGAGGGGAGGGAAACAATGGAGATCTCACCATCTTTCAGGTGACGTCCTCCCGACTTGAAAGGCGCTGTACAAATGTTATTGTTGTTGTTGTTCTGATCCAGAGATGTTAAAGATCCCCTGAGACTATTTAAAAGAGAAGGGTGTTTCTCCCATTTGCTCTTTACGTCAGATAATAATAATAATCCTTGCATGTGATATAGGGCCTCATCACGTCTTCGAGATGACTCAAAGCGCTTCACAGAGTATACCGTAAAGTGGAGTGACTGCGTATTTTGTTGGGGGCGAGATTCCAACGCACAAAAGAACCAATGGCGGAGCTACAGGAGACTCCCACTTGTTTATTTTTCAATCAGACAGAAATCCTGGCATTTGTCGTGACATTCCATGAAGTCGAAGGATCTCAAAGGAAAGTGCCCTCGAGTGTAATGACTGTTTGTGTGTATCGCAGGCAGACGGGGGGGGGGGGGGGGGGTTGGAAGTGGGGGGTGACCAACTTTAATCGAGCGAGGATCGAGGATCCTGTACTCTATCAGTGCAAATTGGCTGTGGGGACTTTCAAGTCAAGAGTGCTTCGCAGGGTGCACTGTAAACCGTAGCGACTTGGGTACTTGTTGGCTAGCCCGGTAGCCAATTTGCGCACACCGATGTCCCTCAAACAGCCATGGAGTGAACGGCCAATTTTCCTCGGCAATTGTTGGCCATGGACAACAGAAGTACAGGATCCTCGCTGTGTTAAAATTGGCTGCCCTGTCAGCCTGCGAAATTAACTCAGTCTTTACACTCAAAGGCACAACGCTATAGACGCTGCAACAGATGCGAGGATTGCTGTAAATTGTTTTACAGAAAAGGAAGTTTCTCTCTCTCTCTCTCTCCTCTGGAGTCCTGGCCAACAATCCCCCAAATAAAATTGCTCGCTCGTCTGGTGGTGGCTTTTTTATGGGACGCTGCTGTCCGCAAATCGGTTGCCGGTTTGCCCACCAAAGATTAAAGCCCCTGTACTTTACGCTATATCTTGTGAAGTGCTTTGGGATGTCCTCCTGACGCGAAAGGCACTGTACCAAGTGTAAGGATGAATTGTTACACATTCCACTGTCCTACAACGGAGCTCTCGACATTAATCCCGCTCCCCTACTCTCTTCCTGTGGTGTCTGTGATGGTGCTGGCTCACCCTTTGGAGTCATCTGACTCTAATCCCATTGCCCTTGTAAAATCAACCCATTTGACTCAAGTGAACGGTATTTGGATCTCTCTGATTTGCTTCCAGACAGCGACCGCTGATGTCAACCACAACATCTCATTCAAATCTTAAAGAAAAACTAAAATGAGGGAGGGACGGAGGGGAGAAACTAAAATAATATCAAAATTTTCCTCCAAATTAAAACTGGCTACTCCTGTCATCGTTCCGAGTGGGTTATTGCTGCCGCAGATTAACTGCTGTATTTGCCTCCTTTGACGATTTTAGTTTTTCGGGAGCCTGAGACACCCCAAAACAACATCGCAGTGTTTAAGGCGATCGCGTGTAGGGATTCTGCAGTACGCTAGGGCACTGCTGATGATAATAATAATCCTTGCATGTGATACAGCGCCTTATCACGTCTTCGAGACGTCTCAAAGCGCTTCACAGGATACACTGCAAAGCGGATTGACTGTATATTTTGTGGGCAAAACATGGCGGCCAAATGCCCACAGCAGCGTCCCCACAAACAGTCGTGGATTGAGTGAACAAATGATTATTATTTTGAAGGGATTATTAACCCCGGAAAAGCGATCCACCGATCGACTAACAAGTGGGTTCCTACTTAGTGCGGGTAAAAAGAGGTGCGTGTGTGGAGTAAGGAAACTCACCCAACATTTCGCTCTGCCCCGGGAATCAAACCCAGGACCTCTCGCTTGCGAGGCGAGCGCTATAACCACTGAGCTACAGGACTCCACTCCACTGATGATAAACACGCCAGCCTGGCTCATCGGCAGGACTTGGAATGGCAGACCAGCCTCGGGGGTGGGGGGTGGGGGGGAAGCGAGGAGACCTTCTTCCTGCTCGACCCTTATTAACTCTGCAAGCCAAAGCCCTAACAGGTAGGGTGGTCTCTGCTGGATACGCACATGATGCTTACGACTGTTTTCATTGGCAAGCTGCGAGGCTTTAGCAGGTTATAAATGCCAACCACCCACTAATGCGCTCTCTGGAGCCGGGTGCCAGGGCTGACTCAAGACTTGTCGCTTGACGACTTGCACTTGAACCCTCTGCTGGGAGAGAAAGAGAGAGAGTGATGGATTCCTTTCCCAGACAAATGGTAACCCTTAGTACGTAGAACCCTCAGCAGTTTGGTTCGGAGACGCTTAAGCACTGGGATATGGGGGGTGTCCATATGTCAGACATCCAACCAACAACTCTCCCACCCACCCACCTTTTCATTCAGGAGTTTAATCCTTAATCGCCCTCGCATTTGATACAGATCCTTATCACGTCGTTGAGACATCTCAAAGGGCTTCACAGAATATACTGTAAAGCGTAGTGACTGTTTATTTTTGTGGGCAAAACACGGCAGCCAATTGCGCACAGCAGCGACCCGCAAACAGTAGTGGATTGAATGACCGTATTTTTTTTTGAAGGGATTATTATTACCCCCAAAAAAGCGATCCGCCAATCGACTAACAACCAGGTTCCAACTTACTGCGGGTAAACAGAGGTGTGTGGAGTAAGGTAACTTGCCCCGCCCCACCCGCGAATCGAACCCGGGTTCTTCTCGCTTGTGAGGCGAGCACCCTGACCACCGAGCTACAAGAGCTCATCAGCAAGCGTACTGACCGTCCTTTCCACGCATGGCTGTTGGGAAATGTGATGAGCGTTGGAAGGGGAACAATTCAAACGGGTTTCAGGGAATGAACGAGCGGAGGATTGGGATTGGAGTTGAAAGCTCCAACGGGGCAGTTGCCAGAAGCCATGGGTTTGATGAGCTGATGTGTGTTTGATTTCAGAGGTTGACGTAAAGTGGATGGCTTAAACTGCTGCGTCAATCAACTCCTGATAACTATCTGCTTGAGAACATTGGGTGCCAGCCTAACTCAATTGGTTGCCCTCTTGCCTGTGCCTGTGGGGGTTGATGGGGTCAGGGAGCCTGGTGCGGGAGAGGACACGAGCTGCGGAGTTGCGGACGATCCGCACGCAGCTTGCGAAGGGAAGAGTTGGGAAGGCCGACAAACGAGGAGGCTGACCCGAGGCTCATAGTCCAGCCCGAAGCTCCGTGTTTGGGGGTTGGAGGTAGCACTCAATGGAGGTGCTTTGGAGTTCCTCCAACGACTCGTTAAAACCGAGCTCCCGTCTGCCTGTTCAGGCGCACGTGAAAGTTCCCGCTGCGTTATTGGAAAAGAGAAGGGCGTTTCTCTCTCTCCCTCCCCCTCTCTCTTTCTCCCCCAGCGACCCGGCCAACAATTTCCCCAGAGAAAGAATTGGTGGTTCACCCGACGGCCATTTGTGGGATCTTGCTGCGAGCGGCTGAGTTTGGGGAATTTTTTTTTAATACGACGTTTTGGAAAGTTTTACGGGGGGAAAAAAAACCAAAAACAACGTGTTTCGTTGCAGGAGGCGAGGACAGATCAGCGCGACTCGAACCACGGCGGGAACTGAAGAAAAAATGATGCGAAGAAGCTTCAAAGCGAGAGAGACAGAAGGTACGTTGCGGTCCGATGCCACCTTTAGAGGCCGGTTATAGCAATAATCCTTGCGTTTGATATATCGCCTCTTCGAGGCGTCTCAAAGCGCTTCACGGAATACGCTGTAAAGTGAATCGAACGTGTATTTTGTGGGCGAAAGGCGGCAGCCAGTTGCGCCACTTTAGAGAGAATTGGGAGAGGCGGGGGGAAGAATGTGATAATAATAATAATAATAATAATAATCCTTGCATTTGATATAGCGCTTTTCACGTCGGGAGGACGTCCCAAAGCGCTTCACAGAATATACTGTAAAGTGAATTGACTATATATTTGTGGGCGAAACGCGGCAGCCAATTGCGCACAGCAATGTCCCACAAACAGTCGTAGATTGAAAATGACCAATTTATTATTGTTTTTGGGTTTTGGAGGGATTATTATTAGGCTCTGTGTGGAGTAAGGAAACTTGCCCAAGGTTTCGCCCTGCCTGGAATTGAACCCAGGTGTCTTGCTTGCAAAGCAAGTGCTCTAACCACTGAGCTACATATTATTATTATTATTATTTATTATCGGCGGCTGTGCTTTCAGCCACTACGCCCCGAAACTCTGGAACACTCTCCCTCTATCCCTCCACCTTGTCCCGTCCTCTCCCCCACCCCCACCACCCCTTCAGGTCGCACCTCCACACTCCCTCTCCCCCCGGCTCAGTGTCGTGCTCCGTCACTGTCAAGCGCTCTGGGGACGTAGCCCTGAGTGAGGGGGCGCTGTGTAAATACAAGTTGTTGTGTGTGCGTGCGTGTGTGTGTGTAGCAGCTGTGTGGGGAGATGGTCAGTTATAGCTGTGAGGTGGGGTTCCAGGGGATAATCAGTGATGGTAGAACCTCACTCAGATGAGATGAGGTCAAACTAGGAGCAGAGAGGTAGGGAGGAACTTCGACCTTCTCCATTTTAGCAACCAAAAATCACCCCCCACAAAAAAATCTGAATTATTTGGCCACACTCCTTCCTTCCCCTGTAGATATAATAATAATTACAATAACAACAACAAAATTACATTTGTACAGCGCCTTTCACGTCGTCGAGGGGATGTCCCAAGACGCTGGACAGACAGAGTTTTGGACCCGAGCTGAGGGGATGGGGGAGGGTGGAGGGCGGAGGGGGAAGCATGGAGATCGACAGCCCGGTCGAAGAGGAGGGTCTTGAGATAGGTCTTGAAGGTGGCGAGGGAGGGGGCGAGGCGGAGGGACTACGGGATGGAGTTCCAGAGGGTGGGGGCAGAGTGGCGGAAGGCCCGCCTGCCAATAGCGGGGCGAGCGAGGCGGGGGACATGAAGCAGGCGGGAACCCGCTGAGCAGAGGGAGCGAGCAGGATGGTAAGGTTTTAGGAGTTCGCAGAGGTAGAGAGGGGAGGGCTTTGAAGGTGAGGACCAGGATCTAGTACGACACCCCTCTCTGACCCGCAGCTCGGGTGCAAACACCTCAAGTTCCAGCGCCTTGGGTTGTCCTCCCGACGTGAAAGGCGCTGTGTAAATGCGATTGGTTGTCATTGTGCCTCGTCGAGAGAGCTTCAGTGGATGGCATTGGCTGTACAATGGGCGTTGGGAATTTAACACGAAGACTGGCGTAACTCAGCCAAAGAGGTCCTTGGGGGTGGGGGGTTGCGAGGGAGTGGTGTTTGACGTCGTACCCAGAGCCAGTGGTGGGGGGTGCGTCGAATGACTCAAGGAATGAGTTCCTTGGCTCAGGCTACAGTGGCCGGAACCAGGAGGAGCGCAGGCAGAGACCTGCAAAGAGGCTGCAAAAAACACACAGAAAGAAAGCGAGACCTGGGTGAGTTTAGTTCAGTGTTGTAAGTAAGGAGCCAAGGAGAAGTCGTGCAAAGAGGGGCATTGCTGGGGGGGGGGAGGGGGGGAGAAAAAATTCCGATACGGAGAGGGAAGGGGGTTGTAAAATTGCGTTACTCTGACGCGCGGCTCGTGTTAATTAGCACAAGAAACGAGTTAAGAAATGCAGCGTGTTTCTTCCGATTGCTTAATTAGCTGGCTGAATGCCGGTGGGAAAACCCACACAGGAAAACTGCTGTGTGAAGCCAGGTTGGCGGACGGGAGGCGTCGTGATTCCAAATAAGGTGTTTTAAACCCGGGATCTGGGGAAGAAATCTTGTAACGCTAACAGTAATTAACATTAATCCTTTTTATCGCCTCGTCGAAATCCGTCAACGCACATCGCAGAATTTTTACCGTCATAATAACAATCCCTGCATTTAATATAGCGCTTTACCACGTCTTGGAGACCTCTCAAAGCCTTTCGCAGGATATACGGTGAAGTGAAGTGACCGTGTATCTTGGAGGGGGGGGGAGTGAAACCAGCAGACAATTGGGCACAGCGACGTCCCCACAAACAGTCGTGGATTGAGTGACCGTATTATTATTATTATTATTAGTTCTCCTTGGGATTATTACTCACAATGTGTAGTGATGTGTGTTTTGTAGGCAAACCGATTTATGCCACAAACAGCCTTGAAGTGAATGACCAGTTTTATCTGGGGGAATTGTTGTCCGGGACCCAGTGAATGGAGGTGAGAGAGTTACCGACTGAGCCAGGCTCGAACCTAGTTAGCGCAACGCGGAGCGGGTACGCAATTTTTTACCCAGGTATTTCCATCAACCGGGCTGTGAACGTGAACGGATGAATGAATGGTTTAACATTCCCCTCAGGCTCACTGTGCCAGACCAGTGCACAGGTGAAGCATTCTTTGCAACAGGTTCAGTCAGGTAAGTCAGAACTGGGCGTAATTTTAATGGCTTGGTCCTACGCCAATTCATTTGATTCCGGACTCCGATGAAAGGATTATTATACGTAGATTCCAAGCCTACCTGCCCTTGAAGTAAAGCAAAGATTCCAAAGCAGTAATGGCTACCTGTGTATTTGGAACCGGTTAATATGGAGTCCTGCATCTTAGCGGTCAGAGCGCTCGCCTCGCAAGCGAGAGGACCCGGGTTCGATTCCCTGGCAGGGGGCGAAACATTGGGCAAGTTTCCTTACTACACACACACACACACACACGCCACTGTTTACCCAGCAAGAAGCCGGAACCTGGTTGTTAGTCGTTTGGCGGATGGCTTTTCCGGGGATAAAAATCCCATCAAAAAAGATAATAATAATAAATGATTGCAGGGAAGACATAGGGAAGACGTTGCCACTTGTGGGGGAGATAAAAACCAGGGGCCACCATTTAGTCACAAATGGATCAAATAGGGAAGTTAGAAGAAATTTCTTCACGCAGAGAGCAGTGGGAATGTGGAACGTGCTACCACAAGGAGTTGTTGAGGCAAATATCATAGAAGTATCTAAGGGGAAGCTAGATAGGTACATGGGGGAGAAAGGAAGAGAAGGTTATGCTTGAAGGCTTAGTTGAGGAAGGGCAGGAGGAGGCTCAGGTGGAGCATTAACACCGGCATAGACCAGTTGGGCTGAATGGCCTGTTTCTTTTCTGTATATTCTAATGGATTCTAATGTAAATTGGTTTCTTCAAACCCCGGGTGTTTGTGGGGACGCTGCTGTGTGCAATTGGCTGCCGCGTTTCGCCCACAAAACATACAGTCCATTCCCTTTACAGTATATCCTGCGAAGAGCTTTGAGACGTCTCGAAGACGGGATAAGGTGCTACATCAAATGCAACTATTCTTAAGATCCTCATCCCAATCTTCACACAGCTTTGTCCCGTAGCTACCTCCAGTACTCTAGTCTCCTCCAGCCCTCCCTCTCCCTCCTCTCTCTCTCTCTCTCTCTGCCTCCTGCCCAAACTCAGGGCTAATGCACATTTCCCCACCATTAGCAGCCAAGCTTCAAGTCGCTCTGGGTCCCATTCTGAGGAACTCTCAGGAGATAAGATTGTGAACGGATTTAAAGATCGGAGCAAGGATCTTGAGGCAAACTGGGCAAAGGGACAATTTTGAAAAGGATAGGAGAAAATCTGAGATAAATTTCAAATAAAAAAAAAAGCTTTCACAATTAAGTGAGGCCAGGCTGGGGTTGTGAGAGGCTTCGGGACGAAAAGGGAAGCAGTTATTTAGGTTAAAGGATCTTCTGCTGAGGGGCTGAACCAAGGGAAATGAACCTGCAGTGGGGAGGCCTGCAAAGGGAAGGAGAGAGGCAAAACCAATGTTTTTTTTTGAATAAAATAACAGCATCAACATCCCAAAAAGCAAGCAAACAGGCAAGGAAGGGAAGGACCCACATAGATTATCTAACGGAAATCATTGAGGGGAAAGGTTCAGCTCATACCTCACGCTGGTAAAGAGAAGGCCGAGAGGCGACACGCTTGCAGTTTCTAATCCCAATACTACTAATAACGATAATAATCCTTGCATTTGATACAACGCCTTAACACGTCTTCGCGACGTCTCAAAGCGCTTCACAAGATACACTGCAAAGTCAATTGACTGCATATTATTTGGGCGAACCACAGCAGCCGTTTGCGCACAGCAGGGTCCCCACAAACGGTCGTGAATTGAAGTGAACGATTTATGATTTTTTTTTAGAAGGAATTTTTACCCCCAGAAAAGCGATCCGCCAATCGACTAACAACCGGGTTGCTTGCTTATTGCTGGGTAAACAGAGGCGCGTGTCTGTGTGAGTGTGTGTGCGTGTGTGTGGAGTAAGGAAACTTGCCCAACTTTTCGCCCTGCTCGGGAATCGAACCCGGGTCCTCTCGCTTGCGAGGCGAGCGCTCTAACCGCTGAGCTGCAGGACTAAGATTCCAAAGGGACTGGATAATGTAGACCACGACAAGCTGTTTCATCTTGTCCAGAACCGGAGAGCCAGAGCCTGCGATTGAAGGAAGGGGGGTAAATTGAGAACACTTCAGTGAGTGAATGTATGGAACAAGCTCCCGAGGCAGATGGTGGCACAACTTTGAGCTCACAATCCAGGCATTGATGTTCTAGTGCAACGCTGGGGGGTGGGGGTGGGAGGGAGCGCTGCATTTACAGAGGTATTGTCCTTCGGATGAGACGTTAAACCGAGGACCCATTTGTGCCAGTTCAGGTGGCCATTAAATGTCCCGTGGCATAACTGGAAAAGGGAAGGGAATTTCTTCCTGATGTCCTGCCCAATCCCTTGGATGAACTAATGATTCACCTCGTGGCTGTTTTGTGGGAGTTCGTTGCCACGTTAGCCTTCAAATTCCGCCTACACGGTCACTACACTCCCTGCGAAGGGCTTTGAGATCTTTTGACTTCATTGGGGCGCTGTATTGAATGCAAGAATTATTATTATTAATAATAATAAAAGGCAAACTCCTTTTCGATCTCCATAAGGCAGCGTTACTTGGCAGGAGTGTTGTAGCTTGAGTTTGGGCTCTGTTGTGAGTGAGTGAGTGAGAGAGTGAGTGAGTGAATGAATTGGCTGACTGCCACATACCATTCATTCAGATAATAAGATTTCACACTCTATTTGAGCACAGCTTCCTGTGTAAGGCCAGCCCAAAACACAGCAGACTTCCTACTCGGATTAGGAGGTGAAAGTTCAAAGCGTATCGGGTTCCAACCCGTCCCGATGGCCATCAAATTCTTATGCGCTTCACGTGGTTTGTGCCGTATCGCAACTGGCGATAGACCAGTTAGTCCACTGTTGGTTGATTGGCGGATGGCTTTTCGGAGGGTAATAATCCCTTCCCCCACCACCAAAAAATAATAAATTGGTCACTCAATCCACGACTGTTTGTGGGACGCTGCTGTGCGCGACTGGCTGCCGCGTTTCGCCCACAGAATACACAGTCACTCCACTTTACGGTGTATCCCGTGAAGGGCTTTGAGACGTCTCGAGGACGTGATAAGGCGCTGTATTCGAATGCAAGGATTGTTATTATTATAGACCTGTTTCCCTTCAGTTTGCTTACATAATACAAGGCCCTTTACAGTATATCCTGTGAAGAGCTTGGAGACGTCGGCCTGAAATGGAAGGCGCCGTATCAAAGATGAGGATTTTTGTAGTTGCTGTTGACCTGTTCAGATGGACTGTGACACTAAAAAGAGAAGGAAATTTCTCTCCCCTGGGGTTCTGGCCAACAATTCCCCATGACAAAATTCATAGCTGTTTGTGGGATACTTTTATTACAATAATAATAATACATAAGGAAGCTTTTGTGCTGTTGCTATTCGATCAGGAACCATTGAAAATGAAAGCGCTTCACGGGATATTCTGTGACGTGAATCAACTGCATATGTTTTGCGGGCGAAAGGCGGCAGCCATTCGCGCACAGCGGCGTCCCACAAACAGCCGCCGTTTGAGTCACCGACTTTTGACGATCAAATTCCGATACTCTGCTTTACGAGCAGCCAATAAATCTTATCTATGGCAGTGGTGTAAAGTGACGTCTTTCGGGCGGAGATGTTGAGCCGATAGCCCGTCTGCGGCTGTTCGGTTGGGACGTGATCCGCCACTGTCAAGCGCTCTGGGACGCTGCCCCGCGCGAGTGAGGGGGGGGGGCCGTGTAAATGCACGTTGTTGTTGTGGTTGTGGTTGTTGAGGTGTCCTTCGTTTTATACAACTAGATTGAAAGTGATAATTATTTTATTGAGTCTATTGGTGACACATTCCAAGTTTACAGCCCAGGCAGGTGTTTAATCGTCTGGCGTTTATTGCTATCGGGAAGTAAACGTGTCCGTAAATCGGGAAGTGGATCAAAATTCCCGAAATCTGGAATTGAGGGGGGTTTCAAATCCTGGAATCCAGAGTTTCCGAAGGCATTTTCCGCTTGCAGTTTTCATTGATTTTCCACGTGTCGGTTTCAGGGTATTATTATTAATAATAATAATCCTTGAATAATCCCTCAAAAAAATAACAGTAGTAATGATAAATTGGTCGCAAAATTTCGCCCACAAAATAAACATAAGGTCGATTCACTTTACGGCGTATCCTGTGAAGCGCTTTGAGAGGTCTCGAAGACGTGATAAGGCGCTGTATCAAATGCAAGCATTATTATTATTATAAGGTTATGGGTTCAGGCTCACGTGTATAAGAGTCAGAGACTTTAAGCTCCAACGGTTCAAGCTGACACTCGAGCGCTGCAGTGGGGGAGTGCTGCATTGTCGAAGCCGCCATCTTTCAGATAAAACAACGACAATTTGCATTTATACAGTGTCCTTCACGCTGGGCAGTGGTGGAACCTGGCCCCGAGTCGGTGTGGGGGACTGAGGGAGGGAGGGAGGAAGGGAGGTAACCGTAAGCACGCACGGTCGAAGAGGAAGGTTGCTTGTGGGGCATTGCCGTGTGCAAATCGGCGACCCGTTTTATAGAATACGCAGTCACTTCACTTCACCGTAAATGACCGTGAAGCGCTTCGAGACGTCCTCCTGAGGTGAAAGGCTCTGGGCCCGCTGTCAGGGTTATTACTGTTATTGTCATCATCATCTCAGAACGCTTGACGTCTTCACAGGTGAATGTTTTGTGGGCGAATCGCTGCAGCCATTTTCCACAGCAAAGGTCCAAGCAGACAGTCGTGGATTGAGTGACCAAATTATATATATTTTTCTTTGAAGGGATTATTACCCCCTTTGACATGCGCACACAGAGGGCAGCGTGTGGGGGCGGTGGGTTGGGGTGGTGGAGGGTGGGGGAGCTTGAACCCACCACCCTCTTTTCTGACCTAGAGGTGAGTGCGGTACCAGCCGAGCCAGGCTACCCCCCGAAATCCCTTCGTGTAGTCCTGTAGCTCAGCGGTTAGAGCGCTCGCCTCGCAAGCCAGAGGCCCCGGGTTCGATTCCCGGGCAGGGGGCGAAACGTTGGGCAAGTTTCCTTACTCCGCGAACACACACGCGCACACACGCAGTGCGTAGTTTACCAGCAGTACGTAGGAACCCGGTTGTTGGTTGATTGGGGGATCGCTTTTCCGGGGGGGTAACAGACCCTTCAAAAAAAAATAATAATTTGGTCACTCTGTCCACGGCTGTTTGTGGGTAAGCTGTCGTATGCAATTGGACGCCCGCAAAATACACGATCGATTCACTTGACAGTATATCCCGTGAAGGGCTTTGAGACGTCTCGAAGACGTGATCAGGCGCTGTATCAAACGCGAGGATTATTGCTATTATTATTGCTATTATTAGTATAAGGAGCGTCGCTTGTAACGGCTACAGAAAGCCGTGGGTGGGCAGAGCTGAGCTGCGAGGCTGCTTTAAGGGCAGGTGGTCAGTGTAACCAGCTTGTTCTTGCCTGGTCTTGGCGCAGGCGGCTCCGTCTCTCACCTCGTCTCGATGGGCAGGGTGCGGGCAGAATGCCAGGCTGGGGTGAGGGGGGGAGGAGGGTTGGTGGGGGGGGGGTGTGTGGGTGGGGTGGGTGGGGGGGAGGGAGTGAGAGAGAGAGAGGGACGGTTGTGGGGGTGGGGGGGCGGCGGTGGTGCTGGGATGGAAAGAAAGGGGTTGTCATGATGACGAGCCCGCAAAGGGTGGTCCTCCTTTTGCTGCCTCTGCCGGTGGCGGGCTCAGCCAGCTCGCCGACGGGTCCGGGAACCAGACAACCCGCGTGTCGTGATGTACCTTTCCGAGGTGGTTTTTCTTGTGGTTGGGGGGGTTGGAATTTGTTTTTTTTTTGGCCGGATTAACAGACAGTTTTACGGGAAGTTAACGCTCCAGACTGTCGCGAAGGCACTGGACCTTTAATGATTGTTCCGTTGAGGTGCCAGAGCGAGAGAGACAGTGAGACAGAGAGAGAGAGAGAGACGCACACATACACAGACGAGAGACAGAGAACACGACAGAGACATAGAGACAGACAAGACAGACAGATAGAGACGAGAGATAGAGTGAGAATGAAAGAGAGAGAGACGCAGACAGACAGACAGACAGACAAGACAGACAGACAGAGAGAGAGCGGAAGGAGAGAGGGTAAGAGGAACTGGAAAAGAGTGGAAAAAAGGGAGAGAGAGAGAGAAGCACAGACAGACGAGAGACAGAGAGAGAGATAGCGAGAGAGGGCGATGAGACAGAGTGAGAATGCGAGAGAGAGAGGTGGGAGAGAGATGCAGAGAAGGGGGAGAGGAACTGGAAAAGAGTGAGCGAGAGAGAGAAAGAGAGAGATAGAGAAGCACAGACAGGGAGAAAGAAAATGCCAGGAGCGATGGCAAGAGAGTGTTGAGAGAAACATAAGACAGGAGGGGGCAAAAGAGAAAGAGAGAAACCGAGAGAGACAGATGGGGGAACAAGAGATAGAGAGAACGCAACAGACACGGGAATGGAACAGATACGAAAAAAAAGCAAACAAGGAAGATGGACAGTAGAGCATAAGAAAGAGAGAGAGAGGCAGTCTAGAGAGTGTATATGAAATGGGGAGATGGGAATGAGAGAGAGAAAGAGAGAGAGAGGTCACCAGAAAGGGAGAAAGACAGGTGGATGCAACAGAGAGAAAGATGGACAGAGGGACGTTACACAGCGAGAGGTGAGGAGAGAGAGAGCGAGACAGGCGGGTACGTGACGTAGAGAAGAGAGAGCGCGAGAGAGAGGGGATTGAGAGATGGGGCATGGCACGGAGAGAGAAAGAGAGATAGACAGAGGGACGTGACACAGAGAGGAGAGAGAGAGAGAGACAGACAAGGACGTGACATAGCGAGGAGTGGGAGAGAGAGAGAGGGAGGGAGGGAGTGAGAGATGGAGACGTGACACGAAGAGCGCGCGAGAGAGAGAGAGAGAGAGAGAAAGAAAGGGATAGGTGACAGTGAGAGAAAGATTGATGGGGAGACGTGACAGAGAGAGGGAGGCAGACATAGAGACGGAACGGGGAGAGAGAAAGAGAGAGAGAGATGTCAAAGGGTGAGTGCGAAATTAGAGGAAGCGAGAAATGGACGGAGATGTGACGGAGAGAGAGAGATGAACAAAGAGACGAAGAGAGAGAGAGAGAGAGAGTGCGAAGTGGAGAAAGTGAGAGGGATAGGCTAGAGGGAGAGAAAGAGAAAAAGAGAGCGAGAGAGTGTGTGTGTGTGTGTACGAGCTTCAGAGAGTAGCGTTGATTTAAATCTGGAACCCTCCATCCCACTCCCACCCCAACGCGACCGAGGCGGCTACGGCTGCACGTTAGGTCGAGGGCGGGTGATCGAGGTTGAGGTGCGGACCGGCCATGGTCCTTATAGCACGGCGGCACAGGCTGGAGGGGCTGGCGGGGCTGGGTCCTGTGCCTACGGCTGTGCGAGGCAGCATTCGTTTGTGCAGTTCACAAAATGGCGGTGGCTGTAGCCCGAGCGAAGCGACTGGGTTGGGCTTCCGCAGCACAACTTTGCCATGATACTGTTTGCTGTTATTTTTTTGGCAGAGCACCAGGGGGCTGTCCCCTTCGTGCCTGGAAAAAAAAAAGTCTCCCATTTATCTCCAAACACCAATAAAAAAAGAGAGAGAGAGAGCGAGCCAGAGAGAAAGAGAGAACGAGCGAGCGAGCGAGCGAGCGCGGAGAAGGATTCGTGGGGTGGGGGGGGGGGTTTAAAATAAATCAAGCGAAATGAATATTTTTTTTAAAAAAAACCAGCCAACGGAAACGTACGGGTGAGGTTCTGACTGGGGGGGAGAGTTGGAGAGAGAGAGAGAGAGGGGGAGAGAAGACAGAGAGCGAGAGAGAGAGAGAGGGAGAGAGAAAGAGGGAGAGAGCAGAAAAGAAAAGTTTCTGAACTTGTCTAACAAGGACAACGACAAATCAGTTGTAGTGGACAAGGACGCAGAGACAGCAGAGGGACTGTAAGTGAGATCATCCCGGGGAATTGTAGTAGTCCACCCTCCTTCCCTCTCTCTACCACGCGCTCTCTCTCTCTCTCTCGCTCTCTCTCTCTCTCTCGCGCTGTCGTGGTCTCTCTCGTTTGCCCTCTCTTGCTCCCTCCGTCATGGTCTCTCTCTCTCTCTCTCTCTCCCCCTTTCTCTCCTTCACGGTCTCTCTATCTCTCTTGTCAATTTGTCTCTCTCTTTTTCTATCTATCGTTCTCTCTCTCTCTCTCTCTCTCTCGTCGTCTCTCATTGTCTCTGTCCGTCGCGCGCTCTCTCACTCTCTTGTTCTCTCTCTCTCTCTCTCTCTCCCCCTCTCTCTCGTCGTCTCTCATTGTCTCTGTCCGTCGCGCGCTCTCTCGTTCTCTCTCTCTCTCTCTCTCTTTCTTTCTGTGTTACCTTGTCTGTGTCTTTCTCCTGCAGAAGCACGTGTCCACGTCCGTCTCTATATATCTCACAATCTCATCCTCCGTCTCTCTTTTATCTCTCTCTCTCTCGCTCTCTCTCTCGTTCACTCGCTCCTTGACAAATTGAAGTCCAAACATTAAAAAAAAAAGAATATAATGTTCCGGAAGGACATGGGGACAAATCCGAAGCTTTATTTTCCTGTCGCCGTTCCGGGAGACATCTTCCCGGTAGAGCCGGTACGGTTGCTGCCGTGATCCTGGTCTGGGATCCCACCCGAGACAAATTTCCAACTTGGGAATAACCGGGAATTCTGACAACGCAGCATCTGCTTACTATTGCTATTCAAATTTAAAAAAAAAAAAATCTAAACAATAACAATAACGACCCCGGCGTTTGACTCGGCCCCTCATCACGTCTTCGAGATGCCTCAAAGCGCTTCACAGGACACGCTGCAAAGTGTAGTGACTGTGTATTCTGTGGGTGAATCGCGGCAGCCAGTCCCCGCAAACAGTGCCCAGCAGTGTCCCTGCAAACAGTCGTGGATTATGAGTGACCCAATTATTGTTATTTTGAAGGGATTATTACCCCCCCCCCGGAAAAGTGATCCGTCAAATGACTATCAATTGGGTTTCAACTTACTGCGAGGTGAACACCGTGTGGCGTGCGGTGTAAGTAAGAGAAACTTCCCTAAGGTTTCGCCTCCTGCCCGGGAATCAAACCCAGATCTCTCACTTGCGATGCGAGTGCTCTAACCCCTGAGCTGTGGGACTCCACACGTAATAATATATATATATATATATAAATATGGCAGGGAAAGAAGTGGTGGGTTACAGAAGAAATGATCCTTTATTTTTAGAGAGAGAGAGGATGAGAAGGGCATCTGGAAGTTCAACGACGAAACAGCCAAAAAAACCAAATGAAATAAATATATGTTCTTGGGACTGTTTTGACGAGGGGTCATTTAGGAGAACGTAATATTCCTCAACCCTTTCTCGATCCCTCTCGCCTTCCCTCTTCCTTTCTTTCTGGCTCTATCTCTCTCCTCCCTCAACATCCACCCCACCTCCCACACCCCCCCTCCTCCCCCCATCCCCCAAAAATAATACGGTCAGCCATCGTTTTGAACACCGCGCTTCAAACCTTGGTGCCCAGCGCTTTGGGACGTCCACCTGACGTGAAAGGCGCTACACAATTTGTTGTTGTTGTTTAGTGTCTTGGCTCCGTCTCTCCATATCTAGGTTTCACTCTCGGAAGTGTTAGTGCGATAGAATAAAGTGCGGTCATTATATTGATGACTTTATTATTATTATCGACAACAACAATAATAATAATTAACACTATTATTTTTATCAATAATCAATAATAATCGTAGAGATAATGATCCCGGGATTTTTGAATGGAACCTGCAACCTTGAGATCCCCCGTAAGCATTTACACGCAGGGTGACGTCGTAATGCCCCAGACCGGGGTAGGGGGGGAAAGGCAGAGGTCCAGAGTTTCAGGGGCGTAATGGCTGAAAGCATGTGACCAGGTATCTGGGAGGATTGTTGGTGGGTACAACCCCTCTTCCACAACACCCCCCCACCCCCACACCACCACCCCCTCATCTCTGTTTACGAAGCAGTAAGAGGGAACCCGCTTGTTCGTTAGTTGATTGGCAGATCGCTTTCCGGGGGGTAATATTTCACCCACAAAAATACACAGTCAATTCAATTTACAGCTCATTCCGTGAAGCGCTTTGAGACGTTTAGGAGACGTGATGAGGCGCTGTATCAAATGCAAGTACTATTATTATTAGTTATATTATCGTTCCTTTTCAAAAAATAAATGAATTGGTCACTCAAACCACGAACGTTTGTGGGGAACGCTGCTGTGCGCGGCATTGGCTGCCGCGCTGCGCCCACGAACCGCACAGAGTCACTTCACCGGGAGCCACGTTGAAGTGCTTTGCGACGCGTGCCCCGAGGTGAGAGGGAGCCAAGCACCCGCACGGATTATTATTATTATTATTATTATTATTTTACGATTAACATCGTCATCCCGCGACATCGAAGGGCGGCCCCCAAAAGAACAGCCCACGCGTTCGTTCGTTCGTCCGTGCAGCAGCTGTCGCTCGTGCCGGGTAAAGTTTCGCCGCGCAGGTTTAATTCTCGGGAGGGGCGCTTAGGGTGAAGAGGTGTGTTTGGGTGCGCAAGTGTGACTGGTTTATTGTCCGGACGTAATGGCATTTGAGGAGCCTGTTATTCGAGCTCGGGAAGAGAGAGAGAGGAGGGGGAGGGGAAAAAAACCCACACACGCAATCGGCCCAAACCAGTCAGACCAGAAAGACCAGAGTTTCCTTGGCAGCCGCCGGGTGGATGGCTTACGCTGTGCCAGGAACCCGCAGTTCCCGAACCAACAAGCGCACGTTACCCGCGCGCTGAGCGGGTCAGGAGCTCTCGGACCCGAGCCGCGGTGGGTGAGTCAGGGCAGAGGGCGCGTGGGGGGTGGGGTGGGGAGAGGGTGGCTGAAGGCACGATCGAAGAGGAAGGTCTTCAGAGGGGGTTTGAAGGAGGCGAGAGAGGGGGCGGAGCGGAGGGATTGCGGGATGGAGTTCCAGAGCGTCGGGGTGGTGGGTGGGTGTGGGGGGGGGGTGGGGGCAGAGATGCTGAACGCCCGACCGCCAACGGCGGAGCGGGAAGTGCGGGGGGACCTGAAACAGGCCGAGCGGAGGGAGCGGACTGGCTGACACGGGGCTGAAAAAATTCCTGCGTGTTCTCGAAACTGCTGTGCTGCTGTTGTGTCCTTAATGGGGGAGTGGGGGGGAGGGGGGGGGGGGGGGGAGGAGGCTCGGTCCATTTTTTTAGGATCGATGTCTTGCACTGAAAGTTTTTTTTTTTTTTGATACCGAGCAGTTTATTGGCTCGCAGAGGTTGGCAAAATGCTGGCGTAGGGGGGTGGGGGGGGGGGCGTCAACAGGGTGTCTGACCCACTCGGAAACCCATCGCCGTTGCTCAGGAGCCTCCAAACCGAGCTGCGAATTCCGTCCCATCCCATCCCACCCACCCACCACGCCTGGAAATCCCAGAGATAGGTTGTCGCAATGGAGTGCGCTCTCTCTCTCTCTCTCTCTCTCTCTCTCTCCTCTCCCTCTCTCTCTCTCTCTCTCGCTCCCCCTCTCCAAGGCGCGTGCGGTGCGGGTGAGCCCAGGGTGTGCGTCGGGGGGTGACTGCTGGAGTGTAACCAGCTACAACCGCGCGGTTTGCCATTGATATCGCTGTCAGACAAACTCTTGCTGCTGCTCGGCAAGTTATTGACTTGCTCCAGCTGGAGGGCGACGGTGCCGTTCGGCGGGCGGTGGCCCTGCAGATAACGCGCCCACCTTTGGACCTTCCCAACCCCTGTCGGCGTTCCTTCGCGGTTGACGATTAACCTTGAATCTTTTGCTGGGTTTCATTTCTTGGTAGAGAGCGGAGCGGTGGCAAACGATCAGTAACAGAGTGACACCGAGAGAGAGAGAGAGAGAGAGAGACAGAAACGTAGGATAGATTAGGTGGCGGAGTCCTGTTGGTCGGTGGTTACCGCCGGGTCGCGGGTCGGTTCCTTTTACTCCGCACCCGGAAAAGCGATCCCCCGATCGCCTACCGGCCAGGTCCCTTGCCCAGAGCCTCTCCCTGCCCGGGAATCGAACCCAGGTCCCCTCGCTTGCGAGGCGAGTGCTCTAACCGCTGAGCTCTGAGACGCTACCCTATGTGAGGCGCAATATATATAAGTGCAAGTTGTTGCTGTTCTCCCTCTCCCTCCGCTTGGCCCAACCCCACCATCGGGCCTTCAGCCTCTCTGCCCCCACTCTTTGGATCTCCACACCCCCCCCCAGTCCCTTCGCCTCCCTCCCTCCCTCCTGCCTCCTTGCAAGGCACATCTCAAGACTCCTCCTCCTTCGACCGTGCCTTTGGTCGCCCCCCCCCCCCCCCCCCCCCACGATCCCAGCCGACCCCCAGCTCGCGTCCAAATCCCTGACTGTCCAGCGCCCCGGCACGTACGTCCTCCCAAGTGAAAGGCGTCGTACAGATATAATTTATTGTTGTTGTCGAACCTGTTCGGAAAAAGATAGGGTT